GTAGCAGAAGCAGAGGCAGCACCTGTAGCAGAAGCAGAGGCAGTACCTGTAGCAGAAGCAGAGGCAACACCTCTAGCAGAAGCAAAGGCAGCACCTGTAGAAGAAGCAGAGTCAGCACCTGTAGCAGAAGCAGAGGCAGCACCTGTAGCAGAAGCAGAGGCAGTACCTGTAGCAGAAGCAGAGGCAGCACCTGTAGCAGAAGCAAAGGCAGCACCTGTAGAAGAAGCAGAGGCAGCACCTGTAGCAGAAGCTGAGGCAGCACCTGTAGCAAAGCAAAGGCAGCACTGTAGCAGAAGCAGAGGCAAACCTATAGGCAGATGCAGAGGCAGCACCTGTAGCAGAAGCAGAGGCAGCACCTGTAGCAGAAGCAGAGGCAACACCTGTAGAAGAAACAGAGGCAACACCTGTAGCAGAAGCAGAGGCAGCACCTGTAGCAGAAGCAGAGGCAGCACCTGTAGGCAGAAGCAGAGGCAGCACCTGTAGCAGAAGCAGAGGCAGTACCTGTAGCAGAAGCAGAAGCAACACCTGTAGCAGAAGGAGAGGCAGCACCTGTAGCAGAAGCAGAGGCAACATATATACCAGAAGCAGAGGCAGCACCTGTAGCAGAAGCAGAGGCAGTACCTGTAGCAGAAGCAGAGGCAGCACCTGTAGCAGAAGCAGAGGCAACATATATACCAGAAGCAGAAGCAACACCTGTAGCAGAAGCAGAAGCAACACCTGTAGCAGAAGCAGAGGCAGTACCTGTAGCAGAAGCAGAGGCAGCTCCTGTAGCAGAAGCAGAGGAAGCACCTGTTGCAGAAGCAGAGGTAACATATATACCAGAAGCAGAGGCAGCACCTGTAGCAGAAGCAGAGGCAGCACCTGTAGCAGAAGCAGGGGCAGCATCTGTAGCAGAAGCAGAGGCAACACCTGTAGCAGAAGCAGAGGCAACACATATACTGGAGCCAGAGGCCACACCTGTAGCAGAAGCAGAGGCAACACATATACCGGAAGCAGAGGCCACACCTGTAGCAGAAGCAGAGGCAACACATGTAGCAGAAGCAGAGGCCACACCTGTAGCAGAAGGAGAAGCAACATATATACCAGAAGCAGAGGCCACACCTGTAGCAGAAGGAGAGGCAACATATATACCAGAAGCAGAGGCAGCACCTGTAGCAGAAGCAGAGGCAAAACATATACCGGAAGCAGAGGCCACACCTGTAGCAGAAACAGAGGCAACACATATACCTGAAGCAGAGGCGCACACTGTAGCAGAAGCAGAGGTAACACATATACCAGGAGAAGAGGCCACACCTGTAGCAGAAGCAGAGGCAACACATATACCAGAAGCAGAGGTAACACATATACCAGAAGCAGAGGCCACACCTGTAGCAGAAGCAGAGGCAACACATATGCCAGAAGCAGAGGCCACACCTGTAGCAGAAGCAAAGGCAGTACCTGTAGCAGAAGCAGAGACCACACCTGTAGCAGAAGCAGAGGCAACGCCTGTAGCAGAAACAGAGGCAGCAACTGTAGCAGAAGCAGAGGCAACACATATACCAGAAACAGAGGCCACACCTGTAGCAGAAGCAGAGGCATCGCCCGTAGCAGAAGCTGAGGCAACACCTGTAGCAGAAGTAGAGGCAGCACCTGTAGCAGAAGCAGAGGCAGCACCTGTAGCAGAAGCAGAGGCCACAACTGTAGCAGAAGCAGAGGCAGCACCTGTAGCAGAAGCAGAGGCAGCACCTCTAGCAGAAGCAGAGGCAGCACCTGTAGCAGAAGCAGAGGCAACACCAATAGCAGAAGCAAAGACCGCAACTGTAGCAGAAACAGAGGCCACACCTGTAGCAGAAGCAGAGGCATCGCCCGTAGCAGAAGCTGAGGCAACACCTGTAGCAGAAGAAGAGGCAGCACCTGTAGCAGAAGCAGAGGCCACACCTGTAGCAGAAGCAGAGGCAACACCTGTAGCAGAAGCAGAGGTAACACCTGTAGCAGAAGCAGAGGCAACATATATACAAGAAGCAGAGGCAGCACCTGTAGCAGAAGCAGAGGTAACACCTGTAGCAGAAGCAGAGGCAACACTGTAGCAGAAGCAGAGGCAACACATGTAGCAGAAGCAAAGAGATCGCAACTGTAGCAGAAGCAGAGACCACACCTGTAACAGAAGCAGAGCAACACCTGTAGCAGAAGCAAAGATCGCGATTGTAGCAGAAGCAGATGCCACACCTGTAGCAGAAGCAGAGGTAACACCTGTAGCAGAAGCAAAGGCCACACCTGTAGCAAAAGCAGAGGCCACACCTGTAACAGAAGCAGAGGAAACACATGTAGCAGATGCAGAGGCAACACCTGTAGCAGAAGCAGAGGCTGCACCTGTAGCAGAAGCAGAGGCAACACCCATAGCAGAAGCAAAGGCCACACCTGTAACAGAATCAGAGGCAACACTTGTAGCAGAAGCAGAGGAAACACCTGTAGTAGAAGCAGAGGCAACGCCTGTAGCAGAAGCAGAGGCTGAAACTGTAGCAGAAGCAGAGGCAACACCTGTAGCAGAAGCAGAGGCAACACCTGTAGCAGAAGCAGAGCCAACACCTGTAGCAGAAACAGAGGCAGCACCTGTAGCAGAAGCACAGGCAACACCCGTAGCAGAAGCAGAGCCAACACCTGTAACAGAAGCAGAGGCAGTACCTGTAGCAGAAGCAGAGGCAACACCCGTAGAAGAAACAGAGGCAACACCTGTAGCAGAAACAGAGGCAGCACCTGTAGCAGAAGCAGAGGCAGCACCTGTAGCAGAAGCAGAGGCAACACCTGTAGCAGAAGCAGCGGCAGCACCTGTAGCAGAAGCAGAGGCAGCACCTGTAGCAGAAGCAGAGGCCACACCTGTAGCAGAAGCAGAGGCTGCACCTGTAGCAGAAGCAGAGGCAGCACCTGTAACAGAAGCACAGGCAACACCCGTAGCAGAAGCAGAGGCAACACCTGTAGCAGAAACAGAGGCAACACCTGTAGCTGAAGCAGCGGCAGCACCTGTAGCAGAAGCAGAGGCAGTACCTGTAGCAGAAGCAGAGGCAACACCTCTAGCAGACGCAGAGGCAGCACCTGTAGCAGAAGCAGAGGCAGCACCTGTAGCAGAAGCAGAGGCAACACCTGCAGCAGAAGCAGAGGCAGCACCTGTTGCAGAAGCAGAGGCAGCACCTGTAGCAGAAGCAGAGGCAGCACCTGTAGCAGAAACAGAGGCAGCACCTGTAGCAGAAGCAGAAGCAACACCTGTAGCAGAAGCAGAGGCAGCACCTGTAGCAGAAGCAGAGGCAACACCTGTAGCAGAAGCAGAGGCAACACCTGTAGCAGAAGCAGAGGCAACACCTGTAGCAGAAGCAGAGGCAACACCTGTAGCAAAGCAGAGGCAGCACCTGTTGCAGAAGCAGAGGCAGTACCTGTAGCAGAAGCAGAGGCAGCATCTGTAGCAGAAACAGAGGCAACACCTGTAGCAGAAGCAGAGGCAACACCTGTAGCAGAAGCAGAGGCAGCACCTTTTGCAGAAGCAGAGGCAGCACCTGTAGCAGAAGCAGAGGCAGCACCTGTAGCAGAAGCAGAAGCAGCACCTGTAGCAGAAGCAGAGGCAACACCTGTAGCAGAAGCAGAGGCAACACCTGTAGCAGAAACAGAGGCAGTACCTGTAGCAGAAACAGAGGCCACACCTGTAGCAGAAACAGAGGCAACGCCCGTAGCAGAAGCAGAGGCAACACCTGTAGCAGAAGCAGAGACAACACCTGTTGCAGAAGCAGAGGCAACACATATACCAGAAGGAGAGGAAACACCTGTAGCAGAAACAGAGGCAACACCCGTAGCAGAAGCAGAGGCAACACCTGTAGCAGAAGCAGAGGCAACACCTGTAGCAGAAGCAGAGGCAACACCTGTAGCAGAAGCAGAGGCAACACCTGTAGCAGAAGCAGAGGCAACGCATATTTCAGAAGCAGAGGCCACACCTGTAGCAGAAGCAGAGGCCACACCTGTAGTAGAAGCTGAGGCAGCACCTGTAGCAGAAGCTGAGGCAGCACCTGTAGCAGAAGCAGAGGCAACACCTGTAGCAGAAGCAAAGGCAACGCATATTTCAGAAGCAGAGGCCACACCTGTAGCAGAAGCAGAGGCCACACCTGTAGTAGAAGCAGAGTCAGCACCTGTAGCAAAAGCAGAGGCAACACCTGTAGCAGAAGCAGAGGCAACATCTGTAGCAGAAGCAGAGGCAGCACCTGAAGCAGAAGCAGAGGAAACGCATATATCAGAAGCAGAGGCCACACCTGTAGCAGAAGCGGAGGCAACGCATATATCAGAAGCAGAGGCCACACCTGTATCAGAAGCAGAGGCCACACCTGTAGTAGAAGCTGAGGCAGCACCTGTAGCAGAAGCAGAGGCAGCACCTGTAGCAGAAGCAGGCGCAGCACCTGTAGCAGAAGCAGAGGCAACATCTGTAGCAGAAGCAGAGGCAGCACCTGTAGCAGAAGCAGAGGTAACATCTGTAGCAGAAGCTGAGACAGCACCTGTAGCAGAAGCAGAGGCAGCACCTGTAGCAGAAGCAGAGGCAACACCTGTAGCAGAAACAGAGGCAACAACTGTAGCAGAAGCAGAGGCAACACCTGTAGCAGAAGCAGAGGCAACACCTGTAGCAGAAGCAGAGGCAACACCTGTAGCAGAAGCAGAGGCAACACATATAACAGAAGCAGAGGAAACACCTGTAGCAGAAACAGAGGCAACACATATATCAGAAGCAGAGGAAACACCTGTAGCAGAAGCAGAGGCAACACCTGTAGCAGAAGCAGAGGCAACACCTGTAGCAGAAGCAGAGGCAACACCTGTAGCAGAAGCAGAGGCAACACCTGTAGCAGAAGCAGAGGCAACACCTGTAGCAGAAGCAGAGGCAACACCTGTAGCAGAAGCAGAGGCAACACATATATCAGAAGCAGAGGAAACACCTATAGCAGAAGCAGAGACAGCACCTATAGCAGCAGAGGAGACACCTGTAGCAGCACCTGTAACAGAATCAGAGGCAACACCTGTAGCAGAAGCAGAGGCAACACCTGTAACAGAAGCAGAGGCAGCACCTGTAGCAGAAGCAGAGCCAACACCTGTAGCAGAAGCAGAGGTAACACCTGTAGCAGAAGCAGAGGCAACACATATACCAGAAGGAGAGGAAACACCTGTAGCAGAAGCAGAGGCAACACCTGTAGCAGAAGCAGAGGCAACACCCGTAGCAGAAACAGAGGCAACACCTGTAGCAGAAGCAGAGGCAACACATATAACAGAAGCAGAGGAAACACCTGTAGCAGAAGTAGAGGTAACACCCGTAGCAGAAGCAGAGGCAACACCCGTAGCAGAAGCAGAGGCAACACATATGACAGAAGCAGAGGAAACTCCTGTAGCAGAAGCAGAGGCAACATCCGTAGCAGAAGCAGAGCAACACATATAATAGCAGAGGAAACACCTGCAGCAGAAGCAGAGGCAACACCCGTAGCAGAAGCAGAGGCAACATATATAACAGAAGCAGAGGAAACATCTGTAGCAGAAGCTGAGGCAACACATATAACAGAAGCAGAGGAAACACCTGTAGCAGAAGCAGAGGCAACACCTGTAGCAGAAGCAGAGGCAACACCTGTAGCAGAAGCAGAGGCAACACCTGTAGCAGAAGCAGAGGCAATACCTGTAGCAGACGCAGAAGCAACACATATAACAGAAGCAGAGGAAACACCCGTAGCAGAAGCAGAGGCAACACCCGTAGCAGAAGCAGAGGCAACACATATAACAGAAGCAGAAGAAACACCTGTAGCAAAAGCAGAGGCAACACCTGCAACAGAAGCAGAGGCAACACCCGTATTAGAAGCAGAAGCAGAGGCAACACTTGTAGCAGAAGCAAAGGCAGCATCTGTAGCAGAAGCAGAAGCAACACCCGTATCAGAAGCAGGGGCAACATCTGTAGCAGAAGCAGAGGCAACATCTGAAGCAGAAGCAGAGGCAGCACCTGTAGTAGAAGCAGAGGCAGCACCTGTAGCAGAAAAGAGGCAACACCTATGGCAGCAGCTGAGGCAGCACCTGTAGCAGAGGCAGAGGCAGCACCTGTAGCAGAAACAGAGGCAGCACCTGTAGCAGAAGCAGAGGAAACACCTGTGGCAGCAGCTGAGGCAGGACCTATAGCAGAAGAAGAGACAGCACCTGTAGCAGAAGCAGAGGCAGCACCTGTAGCGGTAGCAGAGGGAGCACCGACAACAGAAGCAAAGGCAGTATCTGAAACCGAAACAGAAGCAGCATCTGTAGGAATAACAGAGGAACGCCAGTAGTAGAACCGCAGGATGCAGAAGGAGCAAGTCCGAAGCCATTAGCAGACGTCGAGCTTGCAGTAGAAGCGGAAGCAGAAGCAAAGTCCCCTGCAGAAGAAGCAGAAGACCCCGCGGTGGAAACGGCGAAGGAAGCGGAAGTCGAGAAGCCTTCCTTCTTCCAGAGACTCAAAAAGTTCTTCTTTTGGTAGTCATTCAGCACAGTGCCAGAGGCTCGCCGTGTCCACAGGAACTTTGATAATGCTACATTATAGTTTAATTTTCTAGCGATGACTGTATATATAAAATGCTAGGTCTTGAATGTTGTATTTTATCTAGATGTGGATTAATGCGATTATAAGTTTTGCTGTGATTACGCTTTCAGTAAATAAAATGAGCATGTATATAAAATAATTAATATAGTATATATAGATTCTATCTTTATTTCACACCCTATTGCTATCTAAAGTGTCTTACAAGGTTACAAAAAAATATATAATTCGCACAATGACCACAAAAATGATTCCAGTAATATGAAAGAAATATGACATCAAAACCCATGCGTTCTTATAAGGTTCATTTTAAAGCATTTGTGTGTGTGTGTGTAATGGCGTCTGCTCAACCATTTCGGTGATTAATTTTTGCTTTGCTCTACTCTGGAAATCCTAGAGATGACCTTTTGAATGTTCAACCAATGATCATTTGATATTCTTAAAGGACGATTTTATTCGAAATTATTATGCATGTATGTCTACGTGTGCATGCACTTGGAAAAGTTCATGACTCCGTATTTTTTGTGAAAGCAAATGAACTACTTTTAATGCACATAAAAGACGCACGTTGGTTATATATGCGTGGATATTTGTAATTAAATGCACACACACACACACACACACACACACACACACACACACACACACACACACAATATATATAATATAATATATATAATATATATATATATTATATATGTATGTATGCATGTATGTATATATTTATATCATCAATAAGGAGCTAACGCCGACGGGGTGCATAGCCGCGTCCACCATTAATTTCTACCTTTGGTCCTCATGGCAAGCCGCCAGGCAAGGTCTCGTCCCTTCTCAAGCTCCTCACGACAGGTTTGATCAATCTGCCCAAGTCACAGCTTCCTAGTTCGTCTCACGGTGCAACTGTTGGTTGGACACGTGGTCCCGCCAACAGTAGCCATGATCCGGTCCAAGGACCTATTACAAAAGCATCAAGACGAGACCCCAAGGCACAGGATATTGTCTAGGTTTCCCTAACAAAATCTGGCATTATCAGGACCTTGAAACCCTTAGCTTGGTCCTTCTGCACAGAGTTATGAACTACCCTACAAAGGTATGTAAAGCTCTCTGTGACTTCAATGTCCTCGCCGCAAGCGCGTACCGACCGAACAAGTTCTCCTAGCAAGTCCCAAAGTCCTGGAGCTTGGTCTTGGTCCAGGAGACCTCTAGCCCCAAGGGCTTCGCTTCATTACTAAATGCATCGAAAGCCACCAATAAGGTTTCCAAAGACTCAGAATAGCAACATCATCGGCAAAGTCAAGGTCGGTAACCTTTGCATTGCCAGAGTTGCTCCACAATAACTTTGAACAGTAGCTCTGCCCAGTATCCAGTCCATGCAAATGTTGAAAAGAGTTGGTGCAAGGACATAGCCTTGCCTCACTCCTGAACTAACAGGAAAGAAGCTCAACAAGCCCCCACCACACTTTACAGCATTTTCAGTACAGTATACAGGATTGCTATTAGTCCAATAATCCTTATTGGAATTCCTCTCAGTCTCAGAATCTTCTAGAGTGATTCCCAATGCACCATACTGAACGCCTTGATGGAGATGTAGGCTGCAAGCAGGCCACATCCGATTTCACGACGGCACTCTACAATGACTCGAAGTGCAGTGATATGGTCTACTGTGGACTTACCAAGAGTGAATTCATATGCTAAGGCCTCTGGTGCCTCAGTAGGTGGTCTCTGATACGTTTAAGAAGAATGTGGCAAGAACCTGATATACTGAGCAGTGCGATGCCTTGGTAATTGTAGTCCCATCGGCCCCCCTTCCCCTTCCAGAGAGGGATGACCACACCCTCAACAGGTCAGGGGGAACGGTACCGGACCGCCAGATGGCAGCCAGGACAGCATTGAATCCCCGCGCCATAGGTTCACCACCAGCCTTTAACAGTTCAGCTGGGATGCCGCATATACCTGCTGCTGTACCACTCTTCAGCTTGGTGATTGCCCACCTAACTTCAGTTAGGAAGGGTGGATCATTTCTAGAGCTTCACCAAGCGTTTTGTGCTTGAAGGTATTCCACAGAAGTACAGGCTCCGTCCAAATGAAACACCCTAGGGTGATCATTGACCCACTGGGGAGTTTTTGAAGTAGACCCGGAGGGTAGCCACAACCAATCTATGGTCNTATATATATATATATATATATATATATATATATACATATATACGTGTGTGTGTATACACCCACATATACATGTATATACACACACACATGTATACACACACACATATATAACTGTGTGCGTGTGCGTGTATAGATAGATAGATGCAAGCTCTCGGTTGCAGTCGGAACTCGAAAGGGTTGAAATAAGCAAAGAAGAGAGAATAAGGCAAAGAAATCCGAGGATCTCTCTCCACCAGTGATCTGAAGGACAGAACAAAAGTATAAAGAGTATAAAGGGAATTTAATCGCTTTCAATGGCACTCGCAAGGCAAAAGGGATCAATAAGCGAAAAAAATGGGCAAATGTAAAGGGTTTAAACCGAAACCATACCGGTATATTCCTTTTAAATAGGGATGATAACAAAAAAAAGCTAAGATAAAAATTGGTATACAAATAAAAGTACAAAGACTTGGAAAATAAACTCCAACTATAAAAGCAAAAATAATGGAAGTCAATGCTATAAAATCTGAATGTTATTGCACATATTGGCACTAGTGATAATTAGAAAAAAGCAAAAAACAAACAAACAAACAAACAAAAAAAAACAAACATCAGTGTATAATCGGATCGTTAAGGAGAGAGAAAGAGAACTTTGCTTTCGTGAGACTTTTATTGTGGTCGACTCTATAATATCTGTATTAACGTGAACTCTGTCTGGTGGTAAGGAAATATGCATATATAATTATGTGCACAAATATATGTGGAAATCAGGAGGTTGATCACATTTACATTTTAAATTTATCTTTATTTCATCTAAAATCACATGCATAACACATACATACACACGCACACACACAAACACACACACACACACACATAAAGATGTATGTGTGTATATATATGTATATATATATATATATATATATATATATATATAGAGAGAGAGAGAGAGAGAGAGAGAGAGAGAGAGAGAGAGAGAGAAAGACAGAGAGAGAGAGAGACGCACATACACACACACTCATAAATATATAGTAGTACATGAAGTATTGCAATTGAAATTATCAGGGACAATAGAAGTTTAAATACAGTTATCCTCTTATTTATTTGGCAACACGTATGGTTGCTGTGGAGATGAATTTTTCTTGTACATCAGGTAGCAGAAAAAGGCATTTAAACATGAAAAGGTAAATTCACCACAAGTAAACCGTTCCTATAATTTTGTTCATTAGTTCATATAATGTTGTTCATTAGTTCATATAATTTTGTTCATTAGTTCATATAATTTTGTTCATTAGTTCATATAATTTT